GACTTAATCCAGTAGTATTTATAGAATTATGCGAACTGGACAAACGTGAAGAAGCTAAAGAACATCGTGAATTTGGACGATTTAAAGTATTATATGGAGTGATCGTAATGGTTGTAGTTCCTTGACATGAAGAAGGTGTCAGGAAATCTGTTGCCCATATGCGTTTAGGATTATGTATGTTATGTGTTACCACAGGAACAGGATGTGAAGCAGTTACTATCCTTCCTTCTGGCCATGATATTCTACAAGATATAACCAATGCTTCTTCAATAATGGACTGTACAAAATTATTTGCAAATTCATCTATACATTGTGGAACCTTATGTTGCAACAATTGTTCGTAACTAAGAATGGGTGCAGAAAAGGATTCAGAATCAGCTGGTGAAGGACTATCTTGAAATTCTGGTGGTGGTTTAATAGCAACATCGACAACCTCAACCTCTAATTTACCATCAGCATCATTCCAACCTGGCCCCTTCTTTAATGTATTAAAATTTTCTCCACACATACCATCTGAATAATCAAAGGAATCTTGTGATAAAGATTTGCTTTCTATATCGCTTTCTTGCATCTAAAAATAGTTACGGGTAAAAATATCTGTAATTATAGAAATTCAATTTCTATAAAATTTTATTAAAATCATAAAAAATTATACCTCGATAGCAAGATGAGCACGTACAGAATCACTAGAAATGGAACCCCCTAGTCCACTGCTACCAAGATCGCTCAAAGGTCCGGTAGCACTGAGTGAACATGACGGTGGGGAATCCATTTCAAAATGTATTTAAATATCTGTTATAAATTTTATAATAACCAAAATTTCTGGAAGTCCCAAGTAACTCCCTACAACACAATTAATCATTTTTTCTAAAACAAGATTAAACAAGATTATAATCAAAGACAGATTACCATGATCTATTTTCTTACCTGAAAATAGCAACTGTAAACAATATACGAATACCTTATCATCTTCGTATCTGCATATCCAATTGTACTCATTATATGGTCCATTTTGATACAAGATCTATAAGCCATAAAGCTTGCAAAGTAGAGTATTTATATCTAAAATAAGATAATAAGATAATTTATAAAAACGTTATAAATTATTAAAAGAATATTTATGGCTTAATTACTTTATTTCATATCTATTATTTTTGTTAAGATCTATTATAATGCAATCGAACATAATTGATTGATATTACAAAATATGAAAAAATATAAAAATCTATATAGGATTACTGTAATGTATATATACGAAAGAACATAATACTGATAGTATGATCATTATATTACGCAATATCGTGTTAATAACAATATTTAAACATGACATACAAATTCCAAATTATCTGCTTTGTACTATAGAACATAAGTGAGAAATATGAATTCTTTTAAAGACTAAAGAGATAAAGAAGTAACATTTGAAAGATCAAAATACTCTAACGTTTATATTTCACGTTATAACGAAGTATTATTTCAAATATTTTAAATGTCTTGATCAAAAGGCATGCCGTACTACAATAAGTTTCACATCCCGGCAGGGTTAATGTTTGCATCGTAGGTAGTAGATCACCTTTGACGTTTCGCCAGAAAATATACATTTACGTACTTATGTTTCGTTGTTTATAGCCTTTTCATATTTATAACATTCTCCTTGTCCAAGCTGCATATTAAAATAACACTTATGATTGCCACACGATCTCCATTCGCGAGACAAATCAATATTTAAAAGACAACCGCGAGGACTACACATTTCATCTTACTCCATGTCAGTTCTGTTCCTACATTCCCTGTGTCAAGTATAATCCAAAGTAAGCGATTCCATTCGAGTACATTCGGTGAATAAAGATGAATTTCTTAGAAGGGAGAATATGTCTATAGTGTGTATTTCAACATCTCATATAGTCTATTTAACTATTATTCTAAACTATATGAAGCCATTTTATTAAATATGAATAATATAAATGGTATGTAATAAAAGGACATAATAAGACTCTTTTGATAGTAAAAGATATAGTAAAATCAGAAAATGATTTGAAAAGTTTATATTTACGAGTAGATTTCCAACATCCAATCAAATCTCTTGATGACTTTAGTATCAAATTGATTGGTCATTTCAATCATAGATGAGACAAATTTTTACGTATCAGTATTTTGGTTTCACAAGGCAATAATTCCCGAAGCTTTTTTTTTAGTTACAATTAATGACTCATTTACCTACTGAGTTTGATATAAATTGCTATTTTTGTTCAATATTTTCCATAATTAATTTGAAAAAAAAAAAAATACGTAAAAATGTTTCTTACATTAAATTATATTTATATTTAATCTACATAACATAGTACCAGCTATTATTAGTTGTTGATGACTATTGTAGTAGTTGCCGCGTTTACTGATGTTAATAAATTGATTTAAATTATATTATGTGCGTGTCTATGTAGTCAAGATGTCTGACAAAAATTTTATCATAGCCATTTATGACATTATATATTCAAATTTGATAACAAGACTATATATAATGTAATTTCATTATTACGCCACTATATAGATTTTTTTTTAGTTATTATTACATATTTTTGGATGCCATATAGAAATTCCAAAAATAGCTCTAAATATGACATATTGTGGGCTTCACTATTAAAAGTTAGGTATAATTGAGTGTAGGATGGATATCTATTTTTTTAATGTATAATGAAAAAGTGAAATGATTAATATATCAAAAGTATATAGGTTTTTAATACTGTGAGTTAATAGATAATAATCTTTATCATAATTAATTACATAATGTAGATAATTCTTATCATTATTTAGTTTTATCTTAATATTAATTTTATTATAATTTTTAATAAATATTAATAAATATTTTATAATATATTTATTAATCATTACAATATTATAACAATAGAATTGTTTTAAAAATTTTATATATATATATATATATATATATAACATTAATTTTTAAATGAAATTAAAAGGTTTGATTTGTTACAGTGTCTAAAAAATAATAAAATGGAAATAAATCTTAATCAATTTGCGGATCTCTTAAGCATTTTCACCATAGCTATGTGCTTCATATTAAAAGTTCCACAAATCTTTAATTTAATTTCTTTAAAGTCTGCCAAACAAATATCTACCTTAGGACTATTATTAGAAATTACAAGGTAATGTTTGATCATACTTTATATCCTGTATTGAAGGATATATATAATATTTTATCAGAAGAAAAATATTTTATTTTAATAACGCATATAATATACGTATGTATATGAGTGTATACTTATATTTAATATTGCAGTTATACAGTCACGGCAAGTTATAATTATGTTAATGGTTATTCCCTATTATCGTATTTAGAATATCCAATTATATTAATACAAGAATATATTTTAATATTTCTGGTAATGATATATTCGAGACAAACTAATATATGGAGCTTATTGATTACAATTGTTTATGTTACAACAAGCTTCTGTTTTCTATTAGAGATTATACCAAAAACTCTTCTTACATTCGTAATGGTTAGTATAGTTATGCAATATTTGCCTGCAAATTTGTCTCTATATTATTTCATTCATCAAAATATTACTTTTTAGCCTATGTGCACGCCAATATCTGTGTCAAGTAAAGTAATGCAATTGCTGGCAATTGTCAGAGCTAAAAATGCAGATTCCGTTTCACCTCTTACATGGTTTATATCAGCTTTAACAAATTCCAGTAAGTTTTTGCACAATTAGATTAATAATGAATTTGAAAATAATTATTTAAACTAAAATCTGAATATTTGCAATTTTAGCAAGAGTGTTTACTATATGGATGGATTCTGCTGACTTTCTACTATTAGGAAATTTTATCATATCTGTTCTTTTAAGTTCTAGTATTATGTTTTCTTCCTTGTATTATAGATATTATAATGTAAAACAGGATTGAAAAGAACAATATTATTCTGTATACCTGAGTAGTTTCAAATAGACATCTTTAAAATGTAAGCAAGTAAGTTAAAATGTAAAAATTGCTTTTATATAATAAATATTTCAAACAGAATTTCTTTGGTGAGAAATATAAAAATAATAATTTATATATTTAAAAAATGAATAATTGGAATTGTACGCATTTTAATTAACTCGAATGGACAGTATAGTAAAATTGAATAGACATTCCCGTTTAGTGACTTTGTGCAATTAACATTTATTAACAGTAAAAGGCTAATGATTTTTGCAATACAGAGAAGAACAAAGTATTGAAGATTTTATTTGAAGTGACAAATAAAATAAAATTTGTAAAATATAATAACTCGTGATGGCTGTGCAATCAGATGTTCAACGTTATCACAAAGATTTTATCGAATATGAAATCGATCGATCTATTGATTGATATATATATATATAGCGCGCTCGCGCGTGTGTATGTGTGTGTATGTATGTATGTTATTATTTATACATTTCATTGTAAAAAAAAAAAGAAAAAAAAACATTTGTACGTCATAATTTATAATTAAAACTTAAACTAGGTTGAACTTAGTCAAAGAAGAACGAACGAACAAAGGATAATGGTTGATATTGGTATAGTACATGCTCCATATAGTTTAATGGCTATAACATAAGAGGATATGTATATACACACGTGTACGAAGGATACCATGTGGTTCCAGCATGTGTGGACCATCTTCCGAGAGAGCCACCCCCACCCTCCTTCGAAACGTTTGCTTCTCGATGACCCCTTGCGCTTGACAGTCTGCATCGAGAAGCCGCTCGAACATCTTATATTATCGTTCATGACGCTTCGCGTTGGTTCCTCTTTCTCTTTCTTTCACACAATTTTCGGTACGTGCTCGAGAGAGAGAGCGGAAAGAAGAACGGAAGGGAGTGGAGTGTGGGTAGAGCGAGGAAAGAAAAGGCCCGTAGTAGCTCTACTTTTTAACAGAATCGTTGAGAAAAGCGAAGATCTCTGTGTCGGTCGTCCACGGACGGACCGGCAGTGGTGGATCGTTCATCGTTTCTGTCACGATGTCAGGGTGGTGGTTACTTGTAATACATCTTCTAATCGGTCTATTGGTAAAAAATTCCAGGGCCGAAAGTTTAACGCCACCGTATTTCAATCTTGCCGAAGGCAAGGACATCATCGCCTCCGCCACGTGCGGTGTCGATACTCCTGGACCTGAACTTTATTGTAAACTCGTTGGCGCGAATGCTGATCAAGATGAAGACATCAATTTGATTCAAGGACAGGTAAGCGCGAATAATGTAACAACAGGAAAAAAACTAAAGGGTTTAAAAGATGAAAGATTTTTAAATATTTATCAGAAAAATATTGTCAAATATTTATCAGATAAGTTATAATCAATTAAGTATATATATATATTTATTTATTTATTTATATTTATTATTTATATTTACATATATTTAAATTTATAAATTTCGTTTTGAGTCGTCCTTTAATTGTTTAAATCTGTAAATCAATTTGTTTAAATGAATCCATTACTAAATATAAGTAAATTTCTTTATACAAGTTCCCTTTTTTATATAGTTATTAACAGAAATCTATTTCGTTATTGAACTGAATTTTATCTACGTTGATTCTTCGAGTCCAAGAGTTTATCGGTTAGAAGAGACTATAGATTGCTTGCTCAACTACTTCCTTATTTTTTGTAGTCATCATCCGCCAAAAAAAAAGAACGATCGTATAAATAAAGGCAATATAATAATAACATATTTGTATAATAACATATAATAACAATATTTGTATAAAGAATTATTATCTGAAACGAAATAATATTCGTGTTTCATTCGTATTACTTCTTGGTAAAATGATAAGAGAAAAAGATCAGTATTTATCTCGCATGAAGAACGTGTGTGAATGAAAAACATAAAAAAGAAAGGGTACATTTTTCATTCATCAAACAATTTTTTTCATTCATCAAACAATTTTTTTCATTCATTAAACAATTTTTTGTACACATCAATAGATGTAGATATCATATATACGAACGATCGATTATAAATTGTATTTATGAAGTAGATACATTTCTATGATAATAAACGAACCAGTCTATATTTATTTATACTATAGAATAATTTATGATCATAACGAATAACGTTTTTGCGACATTTTTTTTTTTTTATTTAGAACTCAATAATGATCTTTCCCGATGATATATTTTATGTAACGAAATCTTATAAATATTATGCGATGTTTATCTGGAACATTCTTTTTTTTTTCTTTTATACTTTCAACGAGGAAGATATTCATGGAATAGTTATCGCAAGACCATTTTGTAAGCGAACGAAATAAAACGTTTAAAACGCTTACTTAAGTAAGAGGGCCGATAAAAGAGAGATAAGGATGACCTCTCGATACACTTTAAAGTTTCATTCCTTCGAATCCAAATAATTTCATAGAATATCAATGGCCCACCATAAATTTCAAAAAAATTCTTATTAATCTTCTCATAGCTCTTCTTTTATATTTACAATTAAATTTTGATAAGAGAACAAATATTTGAATAATTGATTATATATATATTGTAAAATATAATACATTCTGGTATATAATATATTTCGTTTAGGTATGCGATGTTTGCGATCCAGATAGTCCTGAAAAAAAGCACCCTCCCGAATATGCCGTCGATGGTATGGAAACTTGGTGGCAATCACCACCACTTTCTAGAGGCATGAAGTACAACGAAGTGAATTTGACAATTAATTTGGGTCAAGTAAGTTATAAAAATATCAGAATGAATATAAAATACAAAAGAAAAAGTAAGCCTGTATATTCACATTTGCGTTCCTTCTTTGGTTTATACATATATATTTATATATATATATATATATATATATATATATATATTAATAATCATAAAAAAGAATCTTACGAGAAATTATCCTCAAGCATGACGGGCTTAACAAGAAGGAAAACGATACAAATTTACTGTGCAACCGTATTTTATCTATAACAAAAAGTTTTATCATCTTGTAGGCGTTTTCCTGCAGGCCGGAAATAATTATCTTTGTGTTATTTCCGCAGTAAGAGAGAAAGTAATGAGTTCCTAATCATGATGCGAATATTGTCAAACGGTACATGTATTTAACACGTAGGATATATTCGCAAATTAACGTATTATATATTTGCCGTTTAAAGATAGTGTGCTTCTTTTTTCTTATTACGAAAAAACTTCTTTGTCGGAAGGATTCGTCGTTATCCCCTTATATTTTGGTTATATTCTATTGCAAGAAATGTAACGAGAGAAGATCATAATATAGGGTCAATGGTAGCTTATCAATGACTCTTCTTGTCGTTATCTTTATTAATGCTATTGTCATGATTTTATACGATACAAGGAAAAGTTTCGTAGTAAAATGGAAGTTAACATTCTTTTTACGCACTTATCGGAGCTTGTTTTTTTTTTTTTTTTTTTTTAATTAATAAAGATGTACGCATATATGTTTGCATTTACATATGTACGTATACATGTGTATGCGTGTATATATATATTATATACTATATTTATATTATATTATATAAAATGTATTATTATTGTTCCGTTATTAGGAATTTCATGTAGCGTACGTTTACGTGCGTATGGGAAATTCACCAAGACCCGAGTTATGGGTTCTTGAAAAATCGACAGATTATGGAAAAACGTGGTTACCTTGGCAATATTTTGCGGATTCCGATAGTGATTGTTTAACATATTTTGGTGTCGACAGTCATAAACCTATTACGAGAGATGATAGTGTAATTTGTACGACTGAATATTCAAAGATAGTACCCTTAGAAGGTGGTGAAATACCAATTTCTATCTTAAATAATCGTCCATCGGCAAAGCATTATTTCAATTCAACAATTTTACAAGAATGGACGAGGGCAACCAACGTGCGGTTTCGTTTTCTCAGAACAAAGAACTTACTGGGACATCTTATGTCGGTCGTTCGTCAGGATCCTACTGTGACAAGACGAGTAAGAATCCTTTTTTGTAATTCCTTCAGATTAAAAATACTTATTAACATTGATCAAAATTTATCTTAACTTTATTATTATTATTATTATTATTATTATTATTATTATTATTATTATTATTATTATTATTATTATTATTATTATTATTATTATTATTATTATTATTATTATTATTATTATTATTATTATTATTATTATTATTATTATTATTATTATTATTATTATTATTATTATTATTATTATTATTATTATTATTATTATTATTATTATTATTATTATTATTATTATTATTATTATCTTATTACTATGAGTAATATATATACATACATATATATATATATATATCTGGTATATATATATATATATATATATATATATATATATATATATACACACACAGTAGAATGTTTTATTTTCTATACATTTTAGTATTTTTATTCCATCAAAGACATCAGTATCGGTGGTAGATGTATGTGTAACGGTCATGCGGATACCTGCGATATCCAAGATCCTACTGTGCCGAATAAACTTGTCTGTAGATGTCAGCACAATACATGTGGACCTCAATGTACAACATGTTGTAAAGGTTTTGAACAGAAGAAATGGCAACAATCTACGTCTTTTAAAAAATTTATGTGCGAACGTATGTATCATTGATTAAATTAAATATATACTTGTATATTGGCTATAATTTATAATATTTTAGCTTGTAATTGTTTCGGTCACTCTGATGAATGTACTTATAATTCGATAATTGACGAAAAGCATTTATCTCTGGATATACATGGAAACTATGAAGGTGGTGGAGTATGTAAGAACTGTAGGGATAATACGGAAGGTATCAACTGTAATCAATGTAAACCGAAATTTTATAGACCAGAAAATAAACCTTTCAATGCTACTGATGTATGCCAACGTAAGTTAATTCTATACTTTAAAGGAACTTGAATTATATTATAATTGATTATAACAATTATATTTTGCTATAGCCTGCAACTGTGATTTCTTTTATTCGACTGGAAATTGTGCTGATGCTACTGGTAAATGTGAATGTCGCAAGGAATTTACCCCACCTCATTGTGATACCTGTAATCATGGATACTTTGGATATCCTAATTGCCGCGAGTGTGAATGTCATTTACAAGGAACCAATGGATATCATTGTGAAGCAAAGGATGGTCCTTGTCCTTGTAAAACAAATTATGCAGGTCACTACTGTAACCTATGTGCAGAAAGCTATTATAATTTTCCTGAATGCTTACGTAAGTATGTCTAATAAAACATTTCTAAATTATTTTATTCGGCAAAATATACATCCATGAATATATTAAAGATGTTAGTACATTTGTTATTTTTTACATTGGTTACAATCACAAATGTGACGGTCAATCGAAATCAATGTATCTTACATATGTGATGCTGATAGCAAATGTGCTAAGTAAAAATGTTATTGTTAAAATAATATAAATTTACAGCTTGTGAATGCAATTCACTTGGTTCCCTGAACAATGTCTGTGATGTTGTTTCTGGAAATTGTACTTGTAAAAATAATTATGGTGGAAGAACTTGTAGTATCTGCGAGGACGGTTATTTCAATTATCCTTCGTGCACATGTATGTAAATTAATGAAACAAATGTTAAAAAAGATATGGTACTTTAAAAAAACTAATATAAATACTATCTATATTATTTAGATTGTAACTGTGACGCAAGAGGTACAAAACAAGGAATTTGTGATAAGAGTGATGGCGTATGCTTGTGTAAAGAAGGCTATGGTGGTAGTAGGTGCGATCAGTGTATCAATGGATATTATGGATATCCTAACTGTAGACCATGTAACTGCAGTTTGATCGGTTCTTCTTCAATTAGTTGTGACAGTATAGGAAAATGTTCATGCCTTGCCAACTTTGCAGGAAAGACATGTGATCAATGTAGTCCAGGATATTATATGTATCCAGAATGTATAGGTACGAATTGAATTTATAGAAATTTTTGTTTGTGATGTCTTTTATAAAAATGGATATGTACTTATTTATATAAAGGATTTTATTGAATTTCATATTGTAGCTTGCAATTGTGATAGTCATGGAGCAATTGGTGTATCCTGTGATACAGAAGGCAAATGTCAGTGCAGAGAAAACTTTGATGGATCAAGATGTAATCAGTGTAAAGAGGGCTTTTATAATTTTCCAACTTGTGAAGGATGTAATTGTGATCCAGCAGGCATTGTTGAAACTTTTCAAGGATGTGGTAGTTTACCAGCAGGAGAACTTTGCCAATGTAAGGATCGTGTAGAAGGTAGAATTTGTAATAAATGTAAACCTTTATATTGGAATTTACAACCGCACAATACAGAAGGATGTGAAGGTAATTCAAGCCTTTAATACCATTATATCTAATATATAATAGTTATATGATCTAAATATTTATTTTTTTTTTAGAATGCCAATGTAATATTCCGGGTGTTATTGGAAGTATTGGAGAATGTGATGTGAAAACTGGACAGTGTATTTGTAAACCTGGAGTGACTGATAGAAGTTGCACTCGATGCATTGATGGAACTTATAATCTTCAAGAGAACAATTTATTTGGTTGTTCCGGTAAATTATGATAATTATTTAAATCCAGTCAACATATTTTTTATTATATTTTTAAGTAGGCATTAATATTATAAATACTAATTTATAGATTGCAATTGTGATATTGGTGGATCAGTCAGTTCTATTTGTGACAAACAAACTGGACAATGTCAATGTCAGCCTCGTGTAACGGGTTTAACATGTAAAGAACCTTTAAAAGCACATTATTTTCCTACTCTTCATCAATTTCAATATGAAGTAGAAGATGGCAGAACTTCCAGTAACGGTCAAGTACGATATGGTTTCTTAGAAGAGTATTTCCCAGGTTATAGTTGGAAGGGATATGCTGTATTTTCTGCTCTACAAGACGAAATTATCCAAAATGTTTATATATATAAATCTTCTTTATACCGTATGGTTATACGGTATGTAAACCCTAACAATGAACCAATTCTTGGAACTATTAAAATTACACCAGATAGTCCTGTCGAAGTGGAACAACAATTTAAAGTTCAATTTAAACCTACGACGAAACCATCGTTCGTTACAGTTGCAGGGATTCATGATAATCACCCTTCACCTATGGTGATGAATCCTGGACATTGGACTGTTAGTATTGCTAATAAAAAAACTCTTTTCGTAGACTATTTCGTTCTATTACCTTCAGAATATTATGAAGCAACTATTTTAACTCAAGATGTTAACATACCTTGTAAAGTTGGTTACAAAGAGCTCTGTCGTCATTATGGATATCCCAACTTGATGAATTTTGATTCTGTTCGTGGGGCAGGAGGTTTCCTGAATGAGAACAACATAAGAATACCTTTAACAGAATATTTCTCAGATAAGGATACTCTTAGAGAGATTGATGTAGATGAAATGCCGCTTATAAATGATAGTCAAGAAGAAATTCACTTTGAACTTAGAATATCTAAACCAGGCCCACATGTGCTTATTATAACATATGTTACCTCTATGGAAGATAGTGAGACTTCTGTATTGTTGATTGAAGCAAACACCATCGGCAAAGGCAAAGTTACGCTTTATCCCTGCAAATATACAAGTATTTGTCGACAAGTAGTAACTGATACATATGATAGAGTGGCTGTTATGAACTTTCAGTCAAATTATGTAAGCATAGTCTTAACTGGAGAACCCACTTCAAATATTGCGATTCATTCAATTGTTGCTATTCCATATCATCGCTGGTCCTTAGATTATATAAAACCCAGATCTATTTGTGTTCGAAAAAATGGTAAATGTGTACAAGGATTTTTCCCTGGTGCAGCTGATTCTAAAAAGATTGAATTTGAATCTAATAATGCAGTTCTTGAAGTGGGTAGTCGGCCATCTGGTATTTTTGATAATGCTACAAAACTAATTTATTTGAATGATAAAGATGCAATGGTAGATATTCATGCAAAAGTTGCTGAACCTGGAGAATACGTTTTCATTGTACAATATTATCAACCAGATCATCCAGAGTTTGAGTTGGATGTTCTAGTACAAAATGGAAAGTTTTATGAAGCAAAAGTTTCTGTACCTCATTGCCCTAGTAACAGTGGTTGTCGTAGTATTGTTCAACAAGTAGATGGTAATACTCGATTCCAGTTAATCGAAAATTTTGTGATTACATTCAAAGAAAGCAGTGGAAATGGTATTTGGTTGGATTACATTTTGGTCGTACCTGCAGACCAATATAATAGTAAAATCCTAACAAAAATACAATTTGATCAGACTAAGGAATTCCTTAAAAAGTGTGGTAATAATCATTTCTATGTAAATGTAACAGAAGAAGGATTTTGTAAAGATTCCATTTTTTCATTGACTGCTAATTATAATAATCACGCTTTACCTTGCAATTGTGACATTTATGGTACAACTAGTTTTGAATGTGAAAAGTTTGGAGGACAATGTCCCTGTAAACCTAATATTATTGGTAGAAGATGTGAGATTTGTAAAACAGGATATTATGGATTTCCTAATTGCAGAACTTGTGCTTGTCCTAGTTCAGTGCTTTGTAGACCTGGAACTGGTAAGTATTGTCCACAATTAATAAAATGAACATTTTTAAATTATCCTCTTATATTATTTGAATAATTATGATATTAATTATAATTTATTTTTAATTTATGTTATAATATTGCAATATACAAATTTTTTCATGTTTTTAGGTGAATGTATTTGTCCTACAAGAGTCACAGGTGAACGTTGTCATCTATGTGAACCAGGCACCTATGGATTTGATCCTATAGTTGGATGTGAAGAATGTAATTGTTCTTTTCTTGGTGTAGTCGATGGTAATATGCAATGTGATTTGTTTAATGGCAACTGTAGCTGTAAAGAAAACGTGGTTGGAAGACAATGTGATAAATGCATACCTGGATATTCACAATTTCCTCACTGTGAAAAATGTGATTGTGATGTACGAGGAACAACATTGGATATATGCGATCAGTATACAGCTGAATGTTTCTGTAAAGAAAATGTTCAAGGTTCTGCTTGTGATGTTTGTAAAGAAGGAACCTTTAACATTCAAGCAAGCAATGAAGAAGGCTGCACAAAATGCTTTTGTTTTGGAAAGACAACACGTTGTGCTTCTGCAAATCTCTACAGGACTCATATTCTGGATATGAATAACTGGGAGCTTGTTGTACAAAATGAAAATACTGGAAATTTAACATTTTTAACAACAATACCTCAAGAAATTAATTCAACTTCTATAGTCATTGGTCTAACGACTAATGACACATTTGAAAATGTTGTGTACTTTGCAGCTCCTGCCAGTTATCTTGGCAAAAAGTTGACTTCATATGGTGGATTTTTAAATTATACTGTAAGCTATGATACTGGACCCTTTGGAAAAGCAGTAAGTGCAGCTGATGTGATTCTTCAAGGTGCAGATACAGTTCTCTTTTTTTATGGTGATGAACAACCACTTTCCTTTACAAATTTTGCTGGATCTGTCGAACTCATAGAGGCTAACTTTTTTACACCAAATCGTTTAAGTGTTACTAGAGAACAGATTATGGTAGTTCTTGAAAATCTTCAAGGTATATATATTCGAGCAACATATTGGAACCCTAGTATCATTGCATCGTGAGTATCATTATTTATAAATCATTCTATATTTTTTTTTATTTAATTAATATTTGGTATTTATATATCTTTTTAGGTTATCTTATGTTACCATTGATGTTACAACAGAACAATACTCAGCTCAGTATAGTGTTCCAGCCAGTAGTGTGGAGCAATGTCAATGCCCACCAAATTATCAAGGATTATCTTGTGAAGAATGTGCTCCAGGATATTATAGAGTACAATCAGGTCCTTATGGAGGATATTGCGTACGGTGTCAGTGCAATGGTCATGCAGAAACTTGTGATGTGAATACCGGCGTGTGCCATGTATGTCTTCCTTCTTTTCTTTAAGATCTTTTCTGCATATTTTTCATATAAAGAAACATTTACTCCCAAATTATAATAAATTAGGAAAAAGTTATTTATATAAATAAATTTATAAATGAATAATTTTTTACAGAATTGTAAAAATGGTACTAAAGGCGATCATTGTGAATTTTGCCAACAAGGCTATTATGGGAATGCAACTATTGGTACTCCTTCAGATTGTTTAATTTGTGCTTGTCCACTTCCTACTGCATCAAATAATTTTGCATCTGATTGTGAAGTAAATGAAGAAGGTAACAAAATTAGCTGCAATTGTCTTCCTGGTTATTATGGTGCACGATGCGAAACTTGCATTGCCGGATATTATGGAAATCCAGAAGTCTATGGTGATTTTTGTAAACCTTGTGAATGTTCTGGTAATATTGATACCAATCAAGTTGATTCTTGTGATTCTATTACTGGAGAATGCTTACATTGTTTGAACAATACATATGGACAAGCTTGCAATTATTGTGCACCTGGATATTTCGGAGATGCAGTGGAAAGGAAAGATTGTCAAAGTTGTTCATGTAATGAATGTGGAATGGAACATTGTGATAGCCATAATGGACAATGCTATTGTCAAGAAAATGTTGTCGGTGAACAATGTGATCAATGTGAAGAAAATCATTACGGATTTGATTCTTGCGAAGGTTGTAAGCCTTGCGATTGTGATGTTGCTTCAGATAGTAAGCAATGTGATGAAAAAACTGGTCAATGCCAATGTAAACCTGGTGTTACTGGACGGAAATGTGATCAATGCACTCCTGGTTATTGGAATTTTGGTCCAGATGGTTGTACATGTAAGTATAATAAACGAAATAAATAATAAAACATATTTATATATCATAATTATAAATTTTTACAAGAAATATTTTTGGAAACAATACATTGATTTTCTCATTTTTCTTATAATTTCAGCATGTGGTTGCAATACTGGATATTCTGTTGGTGTATCCTGTAACACAACTACTGGACAGTGTACATGTCTTCCTGGTGTTATTGGTGAAAAATGTGATCATTGTCCATATCGTCATGTTTTGATCCCAGGACAAGGTTGCTTTGCATGTGATTCTTGTACCGGTGATCTGCTTGATGTCACAGATATACTCTCAGGTCTTCTAAATCCAGTTTTTGAAGAATACAATGTAAGTTTTATATACGAAAATTATTATTTTCTGTATATAAACTATTTTACATGGTTGAAAATATTTTTTATAAATAATTTTTCATCATTATATTCTCTTCAATTTACTTTGTATAATTTTTACAGATGGTAGCTGAAAGTTATTTTACGAATCAGCGTCTAAAATTTATTAATGATACAGTAAATGACTTTCATTCAGAAGTTATGTTACTCGATCCAAAGAGAATTAATTTCTTACCACTACAACAAAACTTATCGCGTCTTGGACAAGAAGTGTCGAGTCAAAAACGTCATATTGATTATGCTGCTGAAGATAGCATCAAATGGAAACACGGTGCTCAAAATACGCTTAACGATATGAATGTTTTAGAAGAAGATGTAATTCGTGAAATAAATTTAGTCAATTTTATAGTATCTGAAGTGCAATCATTAGCTTCCAATATAGAGCTTAGACCAGGTGGTAAAATTGAAAACACTGTAAGAAAGACAGAAGAAATTCTAAAAAAAATCAAAGAGGTATCTTTTGTTAATTTCCGTGATAAAGCAATCGATCAAGCTGATCAAGCAAATATTCTTGTATCAGAAATGCTACAATATAATTCTCCAGTGAATAATCTGACTTCAATGGCATCAGATTTAAATGACAAAATACAAAATATTAGTACAAAAATGGATGATTTACTTAAAATCACAGGAAAAGCTAAAGCGTTAGCAGCTGACGTTGAAGATCTTAACGAAGATAATAGAATAGCTGCAGAATCTGGAAATTTTGATATTGTGAAAAATATTACATTAGAGGCTGAAGAAGATCTAAAAGCTGGTGAGCAACTTAATAAAAAAGCAAGTCAACTTTTAGACGAAACAAATACGAATATAAATATTTTAGGTAAGATTCATTGTTACAATTTCACTTTAATTTTATTAGTGTTTGCAAAAAACTATATATCTATTCATTAGAGAATTTATATTTTCACAGAGTCTAATACATTGCAACAAGTGGTAATGCGTTTAAATGATACCATTTTGCAAAATGACGAAATGCTTAATGATTTAAAAGATTCTTTACAAAAGGCACATGATCATGCTGAATCTCTTTACAGTCATTCTTTGGAATTGGACAATCTCTTGACAGATACACGCAATACAAATGCTGTACGTGCTGTTTCTGCATATAGGGATATTGAAATGGCTATCCAAGTTGCCAACTATACTGCTCTGAATGCTGTGTATGCTGCTAAAAATGCAACGGCATCAGTAAGTTAACAATACATTCATTAATTTTATATTCCTTTATTATGATTTATAATCAATTATTGTGGTTTAATTATGATATAATCTTTTCTATTATAATAGTCTTCGAGAATTGAAGAAAAAATAAGAAGTTCTCGTGATCAATCTGCAGATTTGCTTGCCTCTGCAGAAATAGTATTTGAGAAAACTGATGGAAAATCGGAGGGAATTCTTCAGATTGCACAAACCAAGGAAACATTTACAGATTCTCAAAACGAAAACAATAAAGAATTGTTAGATTATATTGATAAGTAAGAGATACTTATTTTCTATCAATTAACATATTTTCTTCATAGAAAGCAAATCGTTAAAAATATATCGTGTATTATGCAACATCCTATATGTAGATAAATTTAGGTCCTTATATCAAATGTGATTTCGATTTCTAGAGTACTTTTAAATATTCCATCACAATCTCCATCAGCAGCTCACAATGCAGTTGATGAAGTTATTAAAACGGTAGCCAATATAACAAATGCTATTCAAAGTATAAATGGTACAATTGATAATATACCAAATGATCTCAAAAAAACTAAACAACTTACAAAGGATACGTCCGAATCGATACGAGATATTTCTCAAGCTAAGAAACAATTGGATGTTGTAAATAAAATTGTTCCTAATATTAATAATTTTCTAAATAATTTGAGTAAAAATCAAAAAGCAATGGAAGGAACAGGAAATGATCTTCAAAGTAAAATTGATGTGCTAAAGAATAAGATCGCAAATGCTAGAGAATTAGCAGACAGATTTAAAACAGGTTTAACCTTTTATCGAAATACTACATTGGAATTGAAAAATCCAGAAAGCTTACCTTTACTAGCAACATCTAGCAAAATTTCATTATATTTCCGTACGAATAAAACCAATGGCTTCCTTTTCTATCTTGGAAATGAAGAAAAAATAAAATTACCACGTGCAAAAACTGTAAGTAATATCATTAATTTAAAAATCATACAACATTTGCAATATTAGAATAAGTTTTAATTATTCATAATTTTATTACAGCATGATTTTATGGCACTTCTAATAGAAAGTGGATATCCAGTACTTATATTAGATCTTGGTTCTGGACCAACAAAGGTCATTAGTAACAAATTTGTATCTGATAATATTTGGCGTCAAATAATTATTGATAGGTGAGTAAATTTATAATTAATGAATATGAAACGAATAATAAATAAATCAATAAATTATTGTCAATAATCAAATAAATCATTGAAATAGGACTGGAAAAAATGTGAAATTAATAGTACGCGAGGATATTGGCGAGGGAAGAGATAAGGAATATGAAACAGAAAAAGTATTACCAGGGTCTTATTCTATATTTAACGTTGATCAAGAACATTCAAAACTATTTGTAGGAGGATATCCTTCTTCTTTTAATATTCAAGATGCAGTTACGGCATCCTCCTTTGAGGGTGAAATGGAAGAGTTAGTAATCGGCGATATACCTGTTTCTTTCTGGAACTTTGTAGATGGTGAAAATAATAGAGAAGATGCTATGGAAAGGGACAAATTGATAAATTTCCAACCAAGTACAGGATATAGATTTGACAAGCATGGATATGCGATTTTAAGTAAACGAAATTCTCAAATATCATCAGATAGTAGAAAGTTCAGTATAAAATTAAATTTCAAAACATTCGCGGATGATGGCTTAATATATCTAATGGGCAAGGGTAAACAGTTTTTATCTTTGGAAATGAGAGATGGTCAGGTATGGCTATATTTGTTTACACTTTAGACTTATATAATATTTGAAAAATATAAAAATAAATATCTTTTTTTGATCGTTTATAGGTACTGTATCAGTACGATCTTGATGATGGTGAAATATCTCTAAAATCGCTTGATAAATTTAATGATGGTAATTGGCACAATTTAGAAGCATTGAGGTTCGAAAAAATTGGTGTTCTTAAAATCGATGGTAAAATGGTTGCACGAGATGAAGCTAAGGGCAGTACTAAAACTCTTCTATCCTTGGATTACATTTATTTTGGAGGGTATCCACCTAATGCTAAGCATCCTTATAAACCAGTTACAAATGATGGTTTCGAAGGATGTATCGATGATGTTGTTATTCTCGATACATCAGTTGATCTTAGTAGTAATATACAAGCTTTTGGAGTTATGCCTGGTTGTCCAGTTAGAGTATGTCATATATTTTTTATTTATTTATTTCTTCTTTTTTTTTTTTTTTCGAAATTTATCTTATTTTAATCCTATGATTGATACATATCAAGAAATTTTTAATTTTAGTTCGCAAGTCTCGTATCTTTTGAAGATAATATGCCAGGATATGTAAAATGGAATAATGTTTCGGCGTCCAATTTCCTTCAGATTAATTTGAAATTCAAAACATTGGCAAATGATGGTCTTATATTTTATGTCACTAATCCAGATCAAACATCTACAAGTTACATGGCACTGGTTGACGGTGTATTAATATTTAAAAGTCAAGGCGAAGAATTAAGGACTGATCCAACTGAAATAAAATTCAATGATAATGAGTGGCATGTTGTCACGGCGACGCATAATGAATCATCTTTAAGACTTGATATTGATGATATTAAAAATTATAGCACCGATTCACCACCTCCATCATTACATATTCTTTATGGGGATCTTTACATTGGCGGTATACCAATATTGTTCCAAGGATCTCAAGATAATGCAAGAACACCGTTTGTCGGTTGTATTGGCGACGCTACTTTGAATGGAATTATTATTAATTTTGCTAACACGACAGAAAAACTTCATGCATTTTTGGGAAAGTGTAAAGGCGGTGAACAATCACGTATGTTTAATCTTTTTAATAATTTTTTAAGTGTGACTACAAAACAATATATTATTAAATAAACGTTCTTTTTTATAGCTATTGCTCCAGTTGACGAACCAGAAGTAAATGTTTGGATACCTCTGCTTCCTACAGAAAGTCCTGATGATACAACTGAAGGCGCAACACAGATTAGTTAGTAATTTCATAAATCAAATATACATTTATTAGAAATAATAAATTTGTTATTTATTTTCAGATGTGGTAGACATTGAATTAGAAAAGGAAGATGAAGACGAAGAACCTACTTTGGAAGGACGCAGTCATCACATTGAAATAACAACTGAAACAATTATAACATCCACTCCAAAACCAATTCTACCTCAAACTGTAGACCAATGTCATTTACCTTATTATCCAGCTACTGATCCTGATCTCGAAAATGAATGGAGATTCGGTACATAGACATTAATATCCATGAAAACATTATTTCTATGGATTCTAATAAAGTTTTTTTTTTCATTATTATATCTAGGTACTACAAACAATAGTCGATTGGAATATAGATCTTTAAATGGAAGATACAGAGACTATTATGATTTCCAAATTAACATTAAAACAATGTCTGATAATGGAATTGTTTTCTTTGCCTCGGATTTAAGTAAACAAGATGTGATTGCCTTATATATTCTAGACGGAAAGGTAAGAGGAATTGTGTATAATAATTTAATCGTTATTTTGTTCTAATTCAAATATAAAATAAAAAATAATATCTTGTTTTTCAAGATTCATCACAAGTTTGACTGTGGAAGTGGACCAGCTGTACTTATTAGCGAAAAACAAATAAATGATAATCAATGGCATTACATTGCTTTTAAGAGAAATAAACAAATCGGACAACTTTCTGTAGATAATGAAGCACCAATAATTGGCTCTTCTCAAGGACATACTGAAACTATCAATGTTAATCCACCATTCTTTGTAGGAGGTGTACTACCAGAATTATTTAGCGCGACACAGTCAAGAATAGTAAGAGTTTACAATATTTTTTCAATGATATTATATATTACTATGTTTTATATATATATATATATACACATATATACAGTGTAATTTATAATAAGTGAATATTACTTTAGATATAGTGTCAACACACTAAAGTAATTAAGAATATTAATATAAACTTTTTTGTTTATTTTTGTATTAAATCAACCTTTAATTATACTTATATATCATGATATCATGATAGAAGTATATAAAATACCATTACTTTTTTAGGGTTTAAGTACTATGTTCAGCGGATGTTTAAGCAATTTTATGATGAATGGTCAATCTGTTGGTGAACCTACAATGAAAGTAGGTGTAATACCATGTTCAAAGCGAATAGAGCCAGGATTGTTCTTCTTCCCAGGGAATGGTAGCAATCTGTTCAAAGCAAGTAAGTGATGTAACTTTACATGCACATACATACGTACATATTTCATTTATTAAAAATAATGAAAAATCATGAAAAATCTTTTCAGTGGATCGATTTACCGTTGGACGTACTATGGATATACAGATGGATATCAAACCACGTACAACTTCTGGACATTTATTGTCGGTTCATGGTAAACGAGATTATCTAGTTTTGGAGATGATTAATGGTACTGTTAAATTTCTTGTTAAAACGACTAAGGGTTCTATAGAAACCTCGTTTGAACCATCCAAATCTAATTCTTTATGCGATGGTAATTGGCACAATGTCCGAGGTAATATATCTTTTATATCTAATGTGTGTGTGTGTGTGTGTTATATATTATTTATTTATTTGTTCTCAAATACTTATCTTCTGTTTTTTTTTTGCAACAGCTGTAAAACAGAAAAATGCTGTACTTTTATCCGTTGATCACAAGGCCGCTCCAATAGGAATTGGTGGTAAAAACGTAGCAGCAGTTTTGTCGAAGCATCCGATATTCATCGGTGGTCATCCTATGTTGGGTAGAAGATTACGTGGCAGCACGTCACAATCTCAATACGTTGGTTGCATAAATAATGTATACATTAATTTGAATTCCATTCATTTGGGTCCAGAACGAGCTTATGGACGAGTCATTGCGGGCGTTTGTCCAACAATATAAGTAAGTAATGTCATTTGAAGTTGAAAATGTGCAAAGTACAGTTAAATCTTAATGTGGTGGTGAATCCCATTAACTTAAGTAGAGTGTATATGCTAAGACTGCTTTAACACTCTTCTTAAGTAAATGAAAAATTGTGTCACAGGCATAGTAATAAAATAATTACAAAATACTCCAAAAGAACCTCACGCCTAGTCTAAAATAATGGGCAAAAGACTGAGTTTTGCATTTCCTTCACATTCAGTAGGAAGCATTTCATATTGCCGATACAAATAATAATGATTATATAGTATATTTTGTATTGTACGTAGTAGAAATTTATACTTGACACAATTAAGTTCTTAAGATATTTTGAATAATTCTGATTTAATTGTATTGCATAGCCAAAGAAAAAGAATTTACTAATAAAAAATGTAAAATATAAATTACTACATTCAATGGAAAATATTGTTTGTTTATATTTTATCCACAAGATAAATCACACAAAAAGAATAGGAACATTAATGAATTTTGATTTTATATATGTACAAAAATATTTGTTTCTATAATATATTTTTCACCAAATATAATAATATATTATTTTATAATTTTTAATGTATTAAAATTTAGAAAATTAAAAAAAAAATATGTTTAAAAAATTGATATACTTTTTTTCATCTGTTTTTAGTTGAAAGAAAAGGTATATGAAACGTTCTTGCAAAAGAATTTGTGTAATTTATCTTTTGATATACTATTCCTCTAGTTTTAATAATGCAGATTATTCTTACATATATTTTTTATAAAACAAAAATATTTAATATATTTTATATACCTTTGCAGAGTTTCATAAATATCATAAATAAAACATTTATAAATTATAAACAATTCATTTAATAAGTAAAATGTTTTAAACATAGCTCTTTGATGCAATAAAAATTATTGTATATATACATGAGAAATTACATATAACATTAATATACAACAATTTGTACAGAAATTATATATAAGTCTTTAAATATATGCTATGCTTGTTCTTTTTTTTTTGTAAATTTTTTTAAACATCATTTCGAAGACCATGTAATTTGCTTAATAAATAAAATTATTGCTGCTATCTTAATGGCACACACACTCTGGTATTCTTATAAATTAATGAATTTAATAAATACCTATATATAAATTATTTTTTATAATCACATATTCTGCATATATCATGAGAGTTTGAATGGACAGTTACATATATTTTTATCTTATGATTATTTGTAAGAAAACGATTGTTACATAACCATAATTATATTAAAATGCAAATGGAATGTTTGTGTTATTCTTATTACACCATACCACCTAGAATAATAATCCAATAAAGATCTGTTCAGATGGCATCAACTCATATATAACACTTTCTTGGCCATAAGTTCACAAGTACTTACTTCCTATTAAATATATATATATTACCAAAATTGTAAGATTATCCGACTCTTACATTGATCCCCGTTAGATTAAACAATAGCTGCTACGATATTACTTTTTAGATAATTTAATTTTCTATTGGGTCTTAACATAAATAAATTCAGTTATATTCACCTTATGTTTATACTTGCAACTGAATTTATTTATGTTATAATCTAATTATTATTAAATGCCAAAATACTAAATACGAATATCAGATAACAATAAAGAAGAAAAAGAAAACAAAGGAAACAAAACATATAAATCAATATAGCGCGATATTGTTAATTTAAACAAACCATAACATATATTTCAATATATCTATCTTAAATATTTAATTGGTCGTTGCCAATATATCGTAGCTGATATAAATATATTAGATCGTTATTGAAGATTCATTCTATAAAGTGTAACTTTATTTTATTTTATTTAGACTTCATTATCTGATAATGCAAGACCTTTGTATCGAATCCAAATTAGATGCACTTGCATCCGGATTGTATTATTACATTATCAATCTGGCTGGTTCACTCATCGAAAACCTGTTACGTTTTAATTTTATCTTTCAAACGAGAAGACGTACAGTAGACTTTTTTAAATATATCTCCTATGTTGTTTTTTGGAAATAAAGTTTCTAGAATCCCTTCAAGTAATACATATAATAGTCTTCTATTTAATACAGGTTGTTGAAATAATTCAAACACCCTTAGGAGCCCATGTCTTGTTGTTTCACTACCTATGATATGCTTCAAATCGTCTGAAAAACAAGAGAGCAATGCTACTTTGGCTACTACTCGAGTTCTATATTTTATTTCTGAATCTCGAATAGGTTTACTTTCAGCTTTTATACCATTGGGCCATAAACTATTCCTGAAAACTTATATACATTAGTTTGATTGAAAATGTGTATCAGAAAACTTTATTAATTATTATATTAATTATTTACTTAATGAAACGTAAATATCCTGCAACTTTTGTGGGACTAGTTATTAATGAAACATATTCTATTATTCTTCTATTCACAATATCACCAAACATCGTACGAATAATTTGTCTTAATAAAGTAATGATCCTTCGTCTTAACCACTGATTTCTTACTTTTAAATCGAAAATTTCATCCATTAATAATAACATTATTCTTAATGGGATATTATCATTAGTCTAAAAACAAAAGACATGAGAATTAATTATATAACATAGTTATGTGGTGAGTTATACAACAAATGAAAGAAATATCGTTACTTCTACATCCAGGCTAGCACCAACTTTAGTATGCTCATAAAAAACATTACTTTTTCTTGGATTACCAAAAAATTTACTTATATTATCCATAACACCGTCTACTGTACTCAACATATTATCTGGCATAGTCTTTACAGCTTGCGTCACGCTCTTCATGGATGTTTTTAGGGGATTCATTAAATTATCTAACTGTAAAAAAAAAAAAAAAAAAAAACAAAAAAAATAGAATTTAAACGTTTATATGTTTATCATAAAAATTATTTAAATGAAATTTACCGTTCGTGAAATTTGACCTCCAGTAACCCCTTTATCGTAATCTCCTTGTTCTAAAAATGCTAATAAGAGATTTTGTAAACCCATGTGGCCATCAACAACTGCTGGTTTTGTTAGTTGATGTAACCAAGCATTCAACATTAACATTCTTTTTTCCAATACAGTCCTCTCCATATTATGAAAAGCTTTCTTAGCAGGAAATGGAATTTTGGCCAAATCATAATATTTTTCTTTTATTTTTTGATACAAATCATAGAAATCAGAATATCTTCTATAAATGTGCCATTTCTCTTGATAACCTGAATCATAACATTTGGTAACAGCCACAGCATATATACCATATGTTTTACCACGATCATTAACAATACCAGTTTCAATTATCTTTGCAGTAATTTCAAAACGACCTTGTTGGAGCTTTTTAATTACACTTAAGTCACAGTTTTTTTCATCTAACGCGATACATTGATCTACGTTTGAATCTAAATAAAAAGCTACATCTTTTCCTTCGTTAATTTGATCCAAGTCTATACTTGATACCTTTTGAATATTTTTCGTATCTTTTGTATTACTTAAAGATTTTTTTTCAATATCACTGCATGATTTAGATTCACTTGATTCAAGAGTATCTATCAAATTTAATGAAGAATTTGATTTTAGCTTGCCTTCTTTTCTTGCTGTTATATTTGCTTCACTGTTAGTACAGCTCTCTGTTAAATTTTGCAAAGTATTTAATTCATCATTAACACTAGTTAAATTTATACTTTTTAAGGATTTTGTATCATCCTCAGAGGTTGGATCTTTCAGTAAATCTAATTCAGCAAGAAGTTTAATATATGCAAGTGATTTTTTAAAACTAGGTAAAAATCTATCCTCATTTTGTAACTTTTCATAGCAACAAACTAAGAGATCATCAAACCATATTTCCTTAACAGTTTCAGTTTTTATTTTTGTTACTAAACTTTTTACTAATAAATCATCTAACTGTAACTTTGATGATGCTTTATCACTCAGATACTGTTGATAAATTTTTAAAGCAGCCTCCTTTAAATTTTCTAGATCTATATTTTTACGTTTAGTATTAACGATACTTGAGGTTGAAGGACCAGTTTGTATTTTTTGTAAATGAATATCTGCTATCTGTTGCTCTGCTGATACTCTCCAACCATATATATTTAAATAAAAGTACAGATATGCCTCAGCATTTATAGAAGTCATATAATCAATAAAATAACTAAGTGCAATGTTATTCTTCAACAATTCATCTAAAGGCAGATTAACTAATTTTTGCCCAGGAACAATTAATCTATTCCAGTCTGGTTGAGTACCAATTCCATCTCCCTCTGATTCTAAACCCTCTTGCATTCCAACAATTCTTGCCTCCAAAATTTTTTTAAAATAAAGTAAACTATTTAATCGTTGTTTTGCTGATAAATCATCATCCCCAGTTAAATCTTTTGAACGTAAATGTGTTATTTCCTTAGAAATAATATTTTTTGTTGCCATTAGTTCTTCCAAATTATCAGTTATTCTAATTACTGTTAAAAAGATTTCACTTGGCAATCCACTTTCTTTACTACACTGAAATTTTGATTTAAAACTCACTAGAGAAAGATATATAAAAACAATATATTATTATAATTAATCTTAAATTTAAAGCTTACCAGCCATATAAATGCCTGATTAATATAATCAGGATCAGAGAATAGATTCAGTAATGGTTTAATTATGGCATTTGCTAATAATTCTTTTAAAAAATATCTAACAGTTAAGCAATCGTAATCTTCCTTTGGCAATATTAAATGTAAAAGACCTTCTGATATTTCACATAATAATTCTCGTTCTTGAGCTTTATTTGTGCATACGACATCTCTACATATCAAATTATTTTCCATTTGCACTTCAAGATCAAAGAATATTTTTTCTAAAGATTCCTCCTCATTTTGGTCTCCAAGTTCAATAGGTTCAATGAGAGATGATAAATTTGGAATATAAAATTTTGACTGTGTATACCAAGATATATCAGTTTCACTTTTATTCCGTCGATGTGTGGGCATTCTTTTGGGCGTTCCACCTGAAGTACTAGAACTAGCACTGCCTTTATATAATTTCTGCGCTCTACGTTCTTTTATCCTTAGTTGAGCTTGACGATATAATCTCATGTGTGAAGCAGCATCATCAACAAGACGCGTAGTTAAATATGGTATCCAGTCAACAGCTTTTACCCTATTTTAGAAAAAAATATGCTGAATAATGCAAAGACCGATCACAGATAATTAACGACTATCCAATTTAACCTTTTTTTTTGTATTTGCTGCCTTAATATTTTACACACCGATTTGCTATATTGATGGCAATTTTTTGAGCATTATTGCGAACTGAATAGAGAAATTCTTTATCGTCTGTAATAGAGCTGTACCAACTTTGCACATAATCTCTGAGGATAAAGTCTAAAATTTCCTAAAAAATATATACATGAAGATACAACCTACTT